TTCTATGATGAAGTAAGGTGGTGCAGTGCTGGAACAGGGCACGAGAGAGGCAGGGGATCCCCATCCTTGGGGCTTTCAGCACAGCTAGACAAAACCATGGCTGAGCTCAAATCTCCCTTCAGGAGGGAGGTTGGATTAGATGGTGTGCAGAGGTCCCTTTCAACCACGCTCCCATCTGCTAGAGGTGCGGTTGGCAGAATGACACACGAACACTTGTGAGCCAGCAGAGCCACAGCACATCTGAGCTTGTGCTGTAAGTTCCTCTGGTACCCCTGTGAAAGGGGAGCGTTGTGTCCCTGCATCCTGCAGTCACACCACTAGCACAACAGTGCTGTCAGTACATCATTTTGTCATATTTGCTGATGTTGGTTATATTTCTATAACAGGAAGGGACTGAGTCATTGGCATAGCAGACAGGTCATGGCTTTCCCTTGGCAAGGAATATCTTATTGATTAGAAATTGTTTCCGTGGCTATTGGGGGGGAGGAAATAGAAAAATATATCCTGGTGGCCAGCGTGAACAGATGGGAAGACAGATCTTGTGTGTGGTAGGCTGCTGCAGGCTCCTTCAGTGCCTTTTTGCACCAGCATTAGCAGCATAATATAATAACTTCAATGAATTTTTGCTTCTAGATAGAGACTGTGTTTACTTTGAATGTTTAAATAGTAAACTCAGTTTTTAGTAAAAAGTTATTATATACATTAGGAAAAGCAGTTTGAGAAAGCTCAGGGATCTTTGCATGCTCAGTCCATGCTGCTGATGTGACCATCCTGAAGTCACTCGTATGTGAGCAAATGCTTTACAATTAAAAATCAGAAAACAAACTGAAAATTGCTGTTTCTCTTGAGTGCTTCTCATGTGAAACTTGAAGTTAGTTCTTTGCTTACCCTGGAAGGAATTACACCGCAGTCACAGCAAGTAGTGCAGCTCCCCACTGTGCTCTTAGGTAAAATTCCTCACAGGGAGAATATAAAATTGCTAAGTCTTAGCAAGTTGCAAAGAGGGAGAATGTTTTTGTTTGACATCTAAGCTATTTATTAAGCAACTTGTGCATGTTCTGTTTGCTTGAGTTGGTTTGTTTTACTTCTGAACGGATCAGAAACTCACCATAATCAGTGTATGAAATTTTTAGCATTAAATATTGGGATGGGTTGTGGTTTGTTCTGTAAAGAGGTTTGAGGCAAAGCATCTTACATTTCTGCTCTGGTTTTCTTTGCAGTGGAGCTCAGGGAGAACAAAGCAGGCAATATAAAATTCACTTACCTTTTTCTGCCTTTTCTTTTTAAAACAGAAACCAGCCACTCTGACACTTTCATTGTTTAATTTGCTTTCCTGTAGAAACACATCTTATATGTAGTGGGGGGGAGAGATGCCGAGGAGTTGGCAGGTCCCCCAAAGCCCTATTCTAGTTTTCCATGATATTGATTTCTGGAACACAAGGGATGCACACACCGTACTCCGCAGTCCATCACAAGTTTTTCCAGCTTAGCTGGAGGGCTTTGTTCAAGCAGAGCACATGCTTGCTCCCACCCTGCCTTTCTTATTCCCTGAAATAACCCAGCTCTTGCCATGGAGCTGGGCAAGCTGCCTTTGCAGCGCTCCCTCAGGGGCCCTCTCCATTTTCAGAGCAGAAGAGACAAAGTTCTGCTAAAGGACTTGGCTTGTGTGGGTCCCTTCAGGGCTTTAAATATCTGGGGATATGGTTAATAGTCAAGGTTAATAAAATATTTGACACAACTGTGCCAGTCTTGCTTAGAAGCTGTTCATTGTAATGGACAGAGGGGGCTCAGAATAATGAACTCTAGTGGGAATGGGCAGGATTTGCATTTCTTTTCCCCAGTGGGAAGGTTTCAGAGTACGTGGTGGTTGAAGTCTGCCCGTCCTCTCGTACAGCGTGTGGCAGCTTTAAACCAACCTCTCCACATCACATGCTCTGTGTGTTCACCAGAACTTCCCAAAGGAGATGTGGCCACTTCCTCCATCCCACATTAGCACAGTGTGCCAGGGCAGGGGGGGAGGAAGGCCTCCATAACTCACCTTCTCCCTGTCTCCCAGCTTTCTTGCTCCATTTTTCCCCTCTTGGAACTCGTGCAGTGCTTTCTCCCACACTGCCTCTCTTTCTGGAATATATTTTATTCCTGAGGAGGTTTGAAACTTGCTGCTTTCTTTCCTCCATCCTCTCTGCAGATTTCTTCCTCCTTTTGTGCAACCTATAAACATTTTGTTGGGTGAGTTACTACTCTGAGTTATTAAACCTTGGTTTTAATTAAACAGCGATCGCTTAACAAGAGAGGGAAGGGGAAATGCACCTCAGAACCTGCTTCCTGCAGTTGGCAGTGTAGCAATGTTTAAATGATCATGTTTTTATGTTTTAATAGTTGACTCTGGCATCGAGTCTTCAAAAGTACTTTTTGAACTTCTGGTTGCAGAAGCTGTCTCTGATGTGGTACAATTTCTTCACAATAAACTATTTATAGCCACCCATCTAAGAATCTGATAGAGCTTTTGCAACGGGTCAAAAGCAAACTCCAGCGAAAGAGGGGAAGGATGAACTTGTTTTCCCAGAGCTGGTTTCTGCAGGGAGCAAAATGTCAAAATAATGTTTTCTTTCAATATTTTGCATTTCCATGCATTTAATTCCTGCCCTCTACATTTGTCTTCAAGCAGTTCAGCAGCTACACCCACTTGTCTTTATGGTTAGGCATTCCTAGCAAGAGGAGTTGGAACTATTTATTAGGTGACACCACTTGCTTACCATCCTGGAAGACTTTTAAGCCTCTGTTCAGTGAAATGTGCAGTGAGTGTTACTGAGGAACCTTTTGCATTTTGCTGCTTTGCTTCATCCAGTGATCTGGTTCTACAGTGTTGAGTTTGCTTACTTGCTTCTGGAGGTGTCACTGGAATATGGGAGAGGTGACACTTGAGATGAGACTTCACATTACTTTATGAATATTAGTTTAATATCCACATAGACACCCACAGACTTACTCATGGTTGCAATATGCACAAGTACGTTCTTCAAGCTGCAAACATTATTCTGTGGGATTATTTCAGTGCATCCTTCTGAAGCCACACAGAGGTACTAAGTCTTCAGGCTTTCACTGTACTGATTGTAACCAAAATGATCAATTCCAACTTAGAGTTGTATTTAATATCTAACAAAACCGTTTTCACTACACAATCATTGGAACAGGTAATTACTGTAGCAACTACAGACTAATGTGAAGTGTTAGCTGTTAATTAAAGCACTACAGAAGTGTACAGTTGTCTTTTGGTGTAACCAAAGCTCCTATTCAAACTTCATTAATCACTTTACAGTTATTGTGTTGAGGGAGGTCAGGACAACCAAGATGCTGGATCAGCCTGGAGTAAACAAATTCCTTTCCTCCCAGGTCGCATGGCATTTGCAGAGCCACTGGCCACGCTGCACCCATGGGCATGGCATCTCCTTTGTGATCCAATGCTCAGCCGTAATTAAATGTTAAATGGGTCCTGTCAGTGCTCTGTAAACCAAACCAGGTATCTGCCCTCTGATGGAAATTGAACCCAAACTTCCACGGATGAATTAGCGTGCATCATAATTAAATAATCAAGTCTTCCCTTTTAATTCACTTGGAAACAGGAGATCTCTCTTATGGAAAAAAGATCAGCTTTCTTGACAGGCTAATTAAGTTGCCAAACTGTCCGGCACAGTACCTCGGCAGCTAACAGACGCTGAGCATGCTATCTCAACCTGTTCACTTGCTTATCATTGCTGCTCATCTTAAGTCCATAATGTTTTGCCACTGTTGATTCATCCCTAGTTAGGGCAGAGTTCATTTACTCCATGGGATTCATGGATTATGCATTTAGCCACTGGTCTGTCAGAGCTCCGTCTTTGCTTCTTGCCTGTTGTTATGATATTAAATAACACTGATTTTTGGTGTTTACTCCTACAAGCTATTGCCACTTGGCCACATAAATGTTTATCCATCTGTTATTAAATTAAAGGGAAGTTTTCAGAAACTTCCAAACCATTAACAGAAACTATATGAACAGTCAGGGTTATAAATATGATTAAACAACAGTCTCGCCCTGTGCTATGTATGATTTTGCATGCAAAAAACCAACTTTCTTCAGTAAGAATTGCTAGAGGTATATAGTGGTAAAATATTATAATTCTTTAAAGTTAGTGCCACATACATGACATTACTCTGCACAGTGTCATAAATCAGTATGAGACAATAAAACTAGTGAAGAGGAAAACCTTTAATGGTTTTGGTTTTATGCAAAATTACATCAGATTTTTAGTAGACTTTTTCCACTTTTTATTTTCTTAGGAATTCATGGTTAGGAATGCACAAGTCAGTGTTAAATAGCCAATATCTTTAGAAATTAAGACAAATGACTTGAAATACTGTGGGAAATGATTTTGGGTCCATGTGGGCATTAACAATAATGCTTTCTAACCTTGTACGTGCGCACATGTGCTAATCTTAAATACAAATGCAGAAAGATCATTTCACTAATGTTTTCTGTGGGTCCTTAGGTTGTGATAAAGAATCAGCCATTTACCTGTTTTCCTGCACTTTAATTGATAGAGCTGTGGATCTCACTGTCTTACCACTGAACAGACCCATAGGGCTGCAAACTGGTGTGATAAACCTTGTTTTCTGTGAATAAAGGATATTCATTAATTTGATTTCATTGAAAGAAAATGTGAAAATGGATAAATTCATACCCAGAAGTTTGCTATTCCTGCTATATGGAAGTCTTCAATGTGCAGATTTTATGTAAGACATGCAGATGTAAAAACCTCCTAAATGGTTTCAGAGTAAATATAGTCTTGTGATCAATTGTTTTCATCAGTCTTTCTTTAGAAATGCTCTTGGAGATGGGCTTAATGTAAAACATATTAGCTCCAAGTCATTTTTCTGTGAAATTAGTGGATACAAGTTGCACACATGTATAGAGGTAATTTTATGTGGTCTCAACTTACTTAATTTTTTCCCTCATGCAGGGCATATCATGTCCCTAGTGGAAAAATACTAGCAGTAAAGGTAAGATATTACAGTAATTTTCTTCTTCTCTTTCTTTCTCTTCATTCTTTCTTGACCTTGGTTTCCTTCCCCTCCCTCTGATTGTTAGATCTCAGTTGGGTTTATCACATTAAAGTCCACATTGTTTATGCAGGAAAACTCCACATTAGGCAGAAGTTCTTCCCTGTGAGGGTGCTGAGGCGCTGGCACAGGGTGCCCAGAGAAGCTGTGGCTGCCCCATCCCTGGCAGTGTTCAAGGCCAGGTTGGACACAGGGGCTTGGAGCAACCTGCTCTAGTGGAAGGTGTCCCTGCCCGTGGCAGGGGGTTGGAGCTGGATGAGCTTTAAAGGTCCTTTCCAACACAAACCAGTCTATGATTCCTAAGCCTGTAATGAGTAGTAAGACAGGAATTCTCAGAGTTGTAATAGGCACAAAAGTACGGAAAACTTAATTATAAAAAATAATTTTATTACAACTTCTAGTATGGAACTAAAAAAGCTCTTCCCCTAAATGTTGGGGTTGTGTATGGGTACTGCTTTGCCCTGGTGCTTGCTCCTCATGTAACCTTCAAGCTCTACAGAGAGCATCCTCTGTGCTGGCTCTGCTTGATGCCTTCATTGCTGCTCTCCAGCCGTGGCCCTGTGCTGCTGGGGGGCTGTGGGCACCCCCAGAAGCTGCCTGGAGAGGAGGTGGAGCACAAGGAAATTCACACAGGCAGGAGGGGAAATGAGTTCACCCTTTGCAAGGTTAATTGAAATCACCTCCCTGTGGCAAAAAGCCTGTTCCCCAGCAATTTCACCTCCTTGTTTCCCTTGGAGTTCATGGGTTTGGTTAGTCCTGGTGGGTAATTAGGATCCTGAAGACGTGGGAACTGGGTTCTCTTGTAGATACTACTCATGGTGGTCCTGTCAGTCTCAATCATATTTTTTAGCATGATTTCAGAAGAGATACTGCATCAACCTGTGTGTGTTATCATAGTGTAAAACAACCTGCTCACAAGCTGGAGGTCAGGAAACCTGCGATCATGCTGGCTTGCTCTATTAAGAAAATGACTTAACACATCCATGGCCCAGCATACCCAGCAATAAAAAGGGGATGGGAGGATGGTAATGCCAGTGTCTTGACCTGATCATCACACGGATCAAGTGTTTTGGCAGAGGATTACCACGCTAATAGGAGCAGCACTGGATGGATCTGTGAAAGCAGTGTTCTGCATTTGGGGGGGGGGGGGTTGATGATAAAACACAGATTTGATAGGACAAGATAACATTTGGAAAACCTGTTGATTAAAATGCTCATGAACCTCATGAATATACGGAACAGGAAAACAAACCAATGCTACATATGCTATAGACCAAACCTATGTCATTTTATGTAAACTTCACACTAGATAATGTACAGTGGATTGAATAGATTATTCAAAGGTAACTTTTTTCCAATTAGAGGGAAAAATCTGAATGAAAAATGTGAGTGTACACTGGCTGGTTGCCATTCTTCAACTGCTTTTAGTTTCTCCTGCTCTTAAGCTAGCATTTAAATGGACCATTTGATTAATCATTTGTATACTGCCTATAATACTCCCAAATTTCCTTTGAGTTGTACATACTGTAAAAGACAATTATGTCACCACAGATTAAATAAGTGAATTAAGACAGAATAGCAGCTTAATTTGACCTGTGATTTTGCTCTCGTTCCCTTTAGTGGAACGTATGCCACTCCAGCAAATAGATGAAGTCATCCATGACAGCTTGTGATGAATTGCCGTATTTATACTGTATATTTTAATAGCCTCACACTAATTTAAATTGAGCACAGAGTAAATTATAATTCAGTCACTTGACTGCTTGTATTTAACTTGACAACTCATCCTTATTTGTCCTGGAGGTGTAGTGGAGAGCAGAGGAAATATGTTCAGGTATTCCTCTCTTAAAAATTAACCCTTTTCACTTGGAACATTAGGTATGTGGAGTTCACACAGGTTCTAAGCGTGCCAGGTGGTTTATGGAGTGCTGTATTTTAGGCAGGAACTTAAGGAAGATGGGCAGGAATGTTTGGAGCCCCTTGCTGAAGCCCAGAGGACCACCACACCGTTTAAATAAAAATAACAGAATCCCAGACTGGCTTGTGTTGGAAGGGACCTTAAAGCTCATCCAGCTCCAACCCCCTTCCCCGGGCAGGGACACCTTCCACTAGAGCAGGTTGCTCCAAGCCCCTGTGTCCAACCTGGCCTTGAACACTGCCAGGGATGGGGCAGCCACAGCTTCTCTGGGCACCCTGTGCCAGCGCCTCAGCACCCTCACAGGGAAGAACTTCTGCCTCAGAGCTCATCTCAATCTCCCCTCTGGCAGGTTAAAGCCATTGCCTTTGTCCTGTTCCTACAGGCCCTTGGCTAGAAGCTCTACATGCTTGGGTACTGTTGCAGCCCCTTTCCATACACGCCCTACCCTGTAGTATCCTCAGTACTTGTTAGTAGGGAGGCTCTGTGTTTCCAGGTTAGCCCACGATAAGAATGCAGGGTCCGTACGTGATTATAGTTAATGCAGATCAGCCAGAGACCTTTCTTCATGCCAGGTCATGGTTGATTGGATGTCAGTGATGTATTTGATGCTGATCATGCTAACTAGTCCTTGCTCAGGTTGGTGAAGCCTGCTCAGGGAACGGGCAGGGAAGTTTCTCACTGCGAGTAGTATTCAGTGAGAGAAAATGCTGATTTTATATTGTTGACAAGATTAAATTCTGTTAATATTCAGTGGGTAAAACTGATGGTATCCCAGCAAATTATTGTAAGTTTTTTCATGCTGGAAAAATGTAAGTGAATATTGTTGGCAAATTATTATTGATCTAGACAAGTGTGTTAAGCGTTTCTTGGCAGCCCTGTATTACACTTACAATTTAGTTTAGTGACAGCTTTTATAAATAACCCTAAAGCAAACTCTTGATAGAAACAGGTTATTGGTTTTTCTTTTAGACAGATTTTGATACTGTGAAATCTGTGTGTTTGGAAATGGTCTCTGTATTTTGTTGCATCAGCAGTATATGCAGCCTATTATATCTGTTCTGCTAATTCTGCAAATTGACTACATTTTGTTTCCCTTTAGCTTAAAGTATTAAACTGTGAAATATTACGGTGGCTAAATGCATTTAGAGTTCATTTTGGTTTGTATACTAGTACTTAATAATTGAGTGTGGGAGTCTTCAAATAATCATGGCAAGGAATTGCATGTTAAAGTTGACTTTCAGTGCTGGTTCTGCCAGAACCAGAATCCTTATTAAGAGGGTTTGTCTTGAAAATCCTGCAGACTTATAACTCCAGGCAGTGCAGCTCACCTTCACTGCAGCACTTGGTGCTTCAGTCCTGGGTAGCAGCCTGGCTCAGGATGATGGAAAATGAGGGCATGGATGAAGGAAGCAGTGGATAAGCACGAGAGTGAGCTGCTGAGTGCTCAAAATCAGGGGGTGTGTAGTTGTTTTGAGGAATGCTTTGGTGATGCTTTCCTAAGCATTTGTATCATCTGCATTTTTTCTGTATATTTAACAGTTTTCCAGGTTTCATACAATGTTAGAAATTGATATAAAAAGGGGATAAATATTAAACTGAAACTGTAAAAGTGGTGGTAAGAGACACTCCTTTAGGGCACCACTGAGACATTCAGAGGTGTTTCCAATACTATACGTATTTAGCCCTTAGAATTAACTTCAGCACCCTGGGACCCGTAGATCTACCATGCCTGCTCTTCACATTACATCTGGGGCTTGTGTTCAAGCTCTAACTCATCTCATAGTCAAATGGTTAAACCACAAACCTGATGATATTTCATGGATAAAATTGGCTGCATAATTTAGTCTGCTTTTAACTAAATAAGTCTGTCCTTTCATTTCCATTTCCTTCCTTTGCTCATGGCTCTATTAAAATATTCTTTCCATCTATTCCTCTCCTTTAACCTCATAAAGATAATACACAGATCTTCAGGTTTTGATTTTAAATCATTCACTCTTATGTCAACTGTGATCATATGTCCATTTTGTTGTGTTTTAGGTCATACCCTTAGATATAACACTGGAACTCCAGAAGCAGATAATGTCGGAGTTAGAAATTCTTTACAAGGTATATATGTTTTCTCATTTTCATTATTCTTCCTTATAATCTTCTTAACAGCACATTTTAAACCAGACTTCTCTCTTTTTTCCCTTTCTTTTCCCAGTGTGACTCATCATATATCATAGGATTTTATGGTGCTTTTTTTGTAGAAAACAGAATTTCCCTGTGCACAGAGTTCATGGATGGTGAGTTGTATATTCAGTGTGCTTTTGATTGCTAAGTCTGTAAATGGGAAAACCATACCAAGATGTGCTTCTCCAGGAAGAGAAAAATGCAGTGTTATGACTGTAGTAATAATTTTGCAAGTAGTTTTTAAGCAGAACAGGTTAGTATTGGGCTTGTGTTACATTCTCCATGGGCTGCTGTGTTTTCCTGAGTGTAACTTCCCTACTTTTATTGAAAATGTAAATAGAACAGAAATAAACCCTGGCTTAATTTGTGGGTTGATATTTGAGTCTTCCATACAATCTGTCCTCACTGACAAAACAGCTGTTCCTCACTTTCCCTGTTTTGATAGCCAAACCAGATTTTCTTTTAAAGAAATCTATTAACCCAATGTCCTGTGTTTTCAATGGAAATCGTCTCTTAATTGCAAGACAAGGAATGATTTTCTAACACAGCTGTTTAGCAGCGTGGCACCAAGTTCCTTTTGGAGTGTACTCCTGTTTCTCCCAATGCGAGTTTTCAGACCAACAGTATCCCCTTCCCCACCATCTGATGCTATGGTCATTGTAGAGACGTATTAGTGCTTTGCTTAGAAATCTTTGTGCTGTATGGAATTCTTGGGGAAAAGGCAGGGAAAGCATCGTGATTACAGCAATTTATAATCATTGCTGCCCTCTGTGTATCAGTTCTGAGAGTGTGTCTCATGGCAGATGCAGTCCCCTTGTGTCTCGTGCACAAGAACCCTCTTCACAGTGTTCAACTCTTAACATCACGTTGTTGTTACGAGCAATAATCTGTTACTCGCTCCAGGATTTTGTTGTGTGCCAGCATTTTATGCCCTATCCAGGTTTTTCACAAAGGTTCAGTTAAGCTGGATATAAAGAAGTAAGGATCTCACAAACAATCTTCTGCCGTGGGAAGGTTTTCTGGCAGGAAAAATTTCCAAAGCCAAATGTGTACCATTAAGTATCCTTGAGTAGCTTCTTTCTTTCTGATGGGGACCACAGATAAAAAACTCTTTAGGGTTTTGTGGTGCATTTTGTTTTCTCCCTGTTAAAATGGTCTGTTACTGTTGTTATTTCTCCCTTTTTATATTTACTACCTCTGTCCCAGGGATCACTGTGCCCCGTTCCAAGCAGAAATATTCTATCAGATTTTCCATATTTGATGAAAAATGCTACATTTATTCAGCAAAGTCTGGAAGTTCAGTTCCTTGCTGTTCTCCTGCTGTGTGTCTTAGCCATTTCTCTGCTCTGTCCTTGCAGTTGCACTCAGATTTGCAAGCCTGTGTTAAGCAGGAGTAGTCCCATGCAGTAAGGAAGCATCTGCTCATGCCAAAAACACGCATCTGCCTGGAGTGTGTGTGCCCCTCCTAATTCAGAGATTTTTTAAATGATGGACATAAATGCTTGCAGTTCTGAATTCTTGTTTGAAAATACTGAAGCCTTTAGGGTATGCATCCCTCATGGTGTTGCACAACGATGGTGTTTACTGACCATGCACAAATTACTTGGAATTATACTGGAGATGACCTCTGGTCTGCCTCATGTTGTGCTCTCCTTCTGGCAGAAAGCAACAGCAATCATTTAAAGGAAGAACAAAATGCAAATAAAGGGGCCTTGCCATTTTTTCCCCCAGACCTTTAGTTTTGATGCATAAGAATACAGGTAAAGAGAAGGAAAAATACTTTCTCATCCTGCAGATGAGCAGCTTTAACCTTGACAAATTTTTAGCCCTTTGGGATGTCTTAGGCTGGTTTATAATTTTTCCTGAATCCCAGGAGACTGTTTGCCCTGTTGCATCCCCAACCTTTAATTTTGATGCCTAAGAATACAGGTAAAGAGTTTTCCTGATAGCTGAGCATCGACCTCACTCTTTTCCTGGTGGTGTCATCAGTAAATTTTAGATGCTGCACTGAGAGCAGAGTTAGATCAGTGCTGAGCATTGAGAATCTCAAGCCTTGACTAAGACAACCCACTCTTGCAAGCTAACAGTAATACACTCTGCCTGTAATTTGCTTGCTCTCTGTTTTATTTATTTACCATTCTGCTTGAGTATTTTTAATTCTCAATGTTAAATTTACTTTCTTGCCCAAGAATTTCACCTCAGGGACATTTGGAACACTGGTTTAGTCATGAATCTCCTTTGCAGAACATAAGGGAAAAGCCTCTGGACTCTGAAGTCCACTTTTGCTTTTGGGATGACTTTTTTATTCCTGAGGAGTTACTCCAAGCCTGTTGGGTTTGAGTTCTCCAACTTTGGTATTCTGTCTTCTGATTGAGAGGTTTTCTAACAGTTTGAGTATTAGTGCTGCAAGCAACCATAAGTAATGTGGATGAAAAGAGCCCCAAGTACTTCTGTTCCATATGTTTATTCAGAGTTTGGTAGATTTTTAAGGTCAGTTATTTCTGACACAGTTATTGTTACATCATTGATGGTGTTATTATTAATAACCAAGGCCTAGAAACCCCTTGTGGCTTCAAATCTGGGGCAGTATTTCATTTTGTATTACCTAAGCACATTTTGTTTGTCCCTGCAGGGGGTTCTTTGGATGTTTATAGAAAAATTCCAGAACATGTACTTGGACGAATAGCAGTAGCTGTAAGTACTTCTTTCTTTTTGTCTTTTGGGTTTTGATTGTGCCTGTAACGCAATGATTTGAGTGCACACGTGCCCCCTTGGGACACAAAGTCATCTCCAGAATCCATGTCCTCATTGTGAAAGGGAAGGTCCTTTCTAACCCTCCTGTGAGCACAAGGACACCAGGGTTAAGGAAGCCTTCCTTTAGAATTACCAACATATGAGTCGCCAGAGGCTCAAGAAATGTAATAAATTGAACAGGATAAGGGAAAAAAGTCATGAATTTGCTGGAGAACTGTGTGGTCTGTTTCTTCACATCAACCCATATAGGCTGGAGCAATTGTCTTAATTGCCTTTATTGAGCCTGCAGTCCTTCTGTGCTATATGGCTCCTTTAAAAAGTGATTCAGAAGCCCTGTCCTAGCCCTTAAGGTGATTCCCTCATCTGCTGCTTCTCATGTGTAAATTCCATTCTAACTGTCCTTGTTCTGTACAAAGTTAACTCAATTAGGTTTGCTTCCCAGCTTGAGAAATTAAGCCCTGTTACCAAAATGCAATGGCAGAACACATTCTCTCTCTTCCCCTGTGGCAGATGTTCTCCTGAAGGCAGATAAGGATGAGGCTGCAGTGTTTATTTGGCACAAGCCAGGCCTGACCCAAGGCTGCCTGGGGACAGGCTGCTCTCACTGCAGTGCTGGGACCCTTCACACCTGAGCAGTCATGGTTGAAATGATTTTAGGGGTGATGAGCAGAGAGGTGGTGTGTGACCTAGTAAAAACCATCAGTCCCCAATATCCACTCAGTTTGGTAGTAAGGTGGTGACAGTGGGATCCTTGGAGGTCCTGGTAGCCCATGAATGTGTCTCAGCAGCATCCAGTGACGGTGTTGTTAGAAATTCACTGGCTGTGATTTAAAACTCCAATTACAGAACAACAAAAAAGGGAAAAAACCCAAAACATTCCATCTTTTGCCACAGCTGAACACAGGGTAAATGACCAATATCTTAGTGGATCTCACAAGGGAGGGAGATACTGCCAAACAATTGCTAAATATAAGGAATACTTTGATAACTTAAGCAGTTTAAAGCATAACAAAGTTATTCTATCATGTGCCATTTAATTAAGTGCTGGGTTTTCACATTCATTATACATCAAGCTGACAATTTAAATCCTTTAATCCAACACAGGCAGCTATTTAGTCTCTGTTCATTGTAATTCACAGCTCTCCTTTCCTCTTAATTTGTGTGGCCTGCCCAGGGTGATGAACATCCTTCTCTGATGCTGTTTCCTCTAAGTAGCTTCAAATCTGCTCATTATATAGCCTAGCAGTTTCTTATAGAATTTGAATGCTTTTCACCTTTAGTTCAGAGTAAAAACGTTTCATCTCTTCTTCCCTATGGAGCAATGAACAGTCAGTTGCTCACGGTGTCCTCATATTCCTGAGTAGTGTGTGTGGAGTGTAATAATACTGGGATGGGCCTTAAAGAATTTCTTCAGCTGCTTATTTCTTCTCCTTTTCCTTATCTGACTTTGTTATGTACTTAACATATTCACGCTAACTTACCTTACCATTTCCTTTACTTACTTTTGTCTCTCCTCTCCCCCATCCTCCCCAGCCCCTTGGCTTGATTCTGCTGATATTCTCTTCCAATTTTTCACTTACCCATAATGTTGCCTCTTCAGCACCATTTTTTATGTCTTGAGATAGATATGTGTATCTATATCTATATCTACATCTATATCTCTATATATATACACACACATATATATATATTTGTTCACCTGCAGGATCATCTCTCTACGAGTGTGTTAGTTAGTGAGCATGACTCCCTGACATGGACAGTGAGCTCACACTCAACAACTTCTAGGTATTTTATTTGCTGCTTTAGCGACCTGTACTGTGCCCACTGCAGTACAGGGGGTCAGTAAAGAGGTGAACAAAGGAGCAGAAGCCTTCAGAGAAGGAACTTGGCCCTTTCTCCTGCTTCTCTGTAACAGAAGGTGTGCGCTGAGGCTGAACCAGCCTGGCAGCTTCCCCTGCTCTGGTGCTGCTTTTTTGCTCAGTTGGCACAGTAGACTTGTTGGAAGGAGGCAGTGAAAGCCTTTGTTCTCTCTAGAATTTATCAGTGGCAGCAGGGATGGCTCCCTTTAGTTTTTACCACCCCTCTTT